ACCCCATCCCACCCACTCTGCTCTGGGTGCAGAAGTATTGCTCTATGCCTCTGCATAAGGTCAGGCAATTTGATTCAGTCTCTCAAGACATCCAGACATGAGAACTGAATCTGAGTATGACAGGAACCACAGGACATGTATTTATCTGAATAAGTGCCTTTGCCAAAATACACAAGGCATATAAATACTGCATTAATAGCTAGCCCCTCGTTGTGTGTCTGACTGTGAACACTCTATACTTCCGTATACCTCATTGGCTTATAGTTCAAGTACATGGGAGTTAGCAAGAGTTATGAAGGTGAACTGAATTTCAGCCTAATGAGTTATATATAAAAGCACTTAATAACAGGGCATAATAACTATAGATAACAATGCAAAGAAGCATTTTTAGCTATGCAACTAAAGGTAAAAAAAGTATAGCCAAGAAGTGTCAGAAATTTGTTTTTGGAAGAGTGTTAACATTATTCATTTTCTGTTAAAAAACAAGAAATACTACTACTACTAATAAGGTATTTTAGTTATATTTCACTGATAAAAAATTAGGAGTTGCAAGCCCACACCATTCTGAATATGATTCTTTGTGTCATAGAACCAGAACAAATCACATCTTTCTTCCAGTTTTTTTTCTTAGGCTGAAGACTAAACATATACATAGAGTGAAATCATGTCTGTGTGTGATTTTATGGCACAAGAATATGTTTCATTTTAATCACAGAAAAATATGGATTCTGGGTGACTTTTTTTAATCCAAAAATTGGGGATTTTTTTGTTATCAGAGAAAATCAACTTATCCCTGTTGATAAGACTGACTAAATGCCCTTCAGCCATCATATTGAAGCCATTAGAAACTACTTAAAAGATAAGTATTTCTGTATATTTCCATAATTATATTAAAATAAATACTTAATTGCATTAATGAATCTGACACTCTTGAACACGAATGGGATCTTCAGAAATGACTACTGAGTTTGTTTCCAATTCCTACTGAAAGTTAATGCGAGTGGATCACTTAGAGTTTTCCTTAGACGGTTTTGAAAATCTCTTAAAGTCAAATAATTAAATGATGAAAGTACATTATTATTATCTTTTCATTTAAGGGTCAACATTTTTTCACATAACAAGCCTAAGTTTTTCCCTGAGAAGCACACTGGTGTTCCACATGAATCTAAGGGCAGAATTTAACCCATTGTGGTAAAATGCATACAAAAACACTTTGGAAGCATAGGAATAGTTCCTAAGGGAATATGACTTTTGGTTCATTATTATCTTGTAATTAAAGATACTCTTGTTTTAAAATAATGATTTAACTTTTGTACATATGTCCATCATAAATTTCTATTTTTACTCCCATCTGGAAAATTACACATTGAATCACTTAGTGGTGATATAGATGACACATATTTAAATATCTACACGTTTTTTAAATGATTTGTAGCTATGGCATCTTGTAGAAGCTAATACGATATTCATATCTATACTTGTCTTAATTGCATTGATACAGAAGTCCTTCTCAAAGACTGAGCATCACATTTTTCAATGTCAACATCAACCTGACTCTCCGTGAATTTAATTCATGATCTAATTCTATTAACCTTGGTTTATTTCATTGATCCAAGAGAACATGCAACAAAACTTTTGTCTTCTAACTCTTTTGTCTACAGATCTCTGAACATTAACATACAAACCCTATTAAAATAAATATAAATAAAAAATAATTTTCCCTCTAACATTACTTAAGTATTATAATAAAATAAGAGCAATACTCTAAAACTTTGCAATTAGATACCTAGGGGGGAAATAACTTTTACCCTTCCAAGGTTCCTTTATCTCTGGTTGGGCACATCTACACGTGCACATTTACTGTGCATTAAGCAAAATTAAAACACATTACAGGAGTGCGTCCGCATGTACACACCCATAATGTGCATTAAAAAGGGTGCATTGCAACAATGTGGATGTAAATTTGATGCCTGCATCATGCAGGTTGTGTTCTTAATGTGCCTGAGTTCCTAATGTGCATTAAATGTATGTGTAGGTGTCTTAATGTGCATTAACACAGGAGCCTTCTGGCTAGGTTTGCACAGCCACTAGGGAGCCAACTGGAGCCTAGCCCCAGAAATCCTGCCTGGCCCCCTCACCTGAGGCTCCGCTGGACTGGTCTCTGGCAGTCCCTAGTTGCAGGATATAAAAGCCTGAAAACATTTTGTTCTGTAGGGTTCATCCTCCAGAAGTCTGCAGGAGCCTATGTTCACTGGTAGAGCCCAGCAGGCCCTGTGTATCCTCCTGGGCAGCCCACAGCCTGTTTGCCAGGTCTGTCCCACTCCAGAGCTGCTGCCTGGCCACAGGTGAGTACTGTAAAGTCTGTTGCACATCTTGCCTAGCCCTGTGATCTCACCAAGGCTGCTGGCCCTGCCGGCTGTGCCATGAGGGCTAGCACCTGCTGTTTCCTGTTGCTCACACCCCATCAGCTCTCTGTTTGCAGGACTGTGGTGAAGTACCTCAGCTCTGTAGATCTGACTCCCTGGATGTGTCCCTGTCGGGGTGCTGCTGCCAGCCATCCAGGGCCAGCCACCCAGGGTCAGCTGCTTGGGGGCCCAATCTGCTGGTGTAGGAACAATGTTCACTACCTCCCCTGTGTCCAGCCCCAGCCCCTCCTATGTGTGCTCTCCCATCCACAGCCCCATGAGCACAAACTGGACCTAGTAAGATGTTCACACCCTTGTGGCACTGTAGGGTGAAGAGGATGTCCTGAGACAGTTCACCCAGGGCACACACTCAAACACTCATCTTTACAAGGCCCTAGTGGCTGGGATGCGGGCATGGGGCCACTCCTGGTTGGCATGGCAGTGCTGCATGAAGGCCAAGGACCCACAGTCCCAGTGGGTGGTCATGACCAGCCACAATTACTGGTCCAATGGGACACCAAGGACTATACCTTTCATGTGAGAGCTGACCCACATCTTGGTGCCCTGGGAGGCCAGGCCTACACCCCACCCTGACACCTCTGGTAACTTGTCACCATCTTGGGCCTCCAGCTCCCTGTACTGCACTCCTCCCCAGCTGCTGCACCCACTGGCAGCCCAGGGAGCCCTGGTCAGTGGCTGTCTTGGTGTTGGCCCTACCCCACAGATGCCCACAAGGAGTGACCAGTCACATCACCATCAGCTGCTGGCACCACCCTAGGGGGGGCCCTGGCTGGGTGCTGCCCCCCAGACCTGCAGCAGTACTTCCTGTGGCCAGGGTGTTTGCCACCTACCACTAGGCTCTCTGCCCTCAATGGCCCCACTCCTGAGCCCTTTCCAGGTGGACTCAGGGATGAAGTCAGACACTTGAACTGTGTCTGAAATTTAGGAAACAGATTTTTTAGTTTTGGAGGTGGGGAGGGTGGTGGAGGGGCATTGTGTGTGCAGGGGGGGTCTGTATTTGTTGAGGGGAGGGATGACATTTTTTTTTTCTGTTAATAAACTTTGTACTGTTTCATCAATGTGTGGGTCCTGGAGTGGTTCTGGGGTGGGCAGGGGGTTGGCAGTGCGTGGGCAATGGGGCAGGTGGGCCTGAGCAGAGCGCATAGTAGGAAGGGATTGGCCACAGCCTCCCTCAGCCAGTGCCCTGGGCCCAGCTGGCAGGTGTACAGTTGCCTTTGGGCCTGGGTGGGGGAGGGGGAGATGAAGTGGGACCAGCAGGATCAGCACCATGGTTAGCAGCAGCATGGGCCACTGGTTGCCAGGGGCAGGGATAGGGGTGGCTCAGGAAGGCAGGGTGGGCAGAGTGGGAGGTGCCACATGCTGGCCCAGTGCTGTGCATACAGAGCCTGGGAAGGGAAGGGGCTGAGTAAGGCTGTGAGTGTGGAGATGAGCACTTAATAAGTTAATATATAATTATCAGCAGTAGGAAGTATGGATGCTAGAGCTAAACTATATACTCTGATTGTGTATGTAACATTAAAAGATTTTATGGCAGAGGCATACTTGAACTTAATTAGTCCTTTCTTTGTCACAAGACATCCAATAATTAAAATTAGTCAAAAGTATTTTTGCTGCTGGGTTCAGCTCAAGAGGGGGAAAAAGTTTCAAGTAAAAGCTGTTCAGCATAAGCAATAAACACATTCACAAAAATCTGCAATTTTGGTTTTCAGGTTGTTTTATTAGTTTTGTTGGGGGTTTTCTTTTTTGTTTGTTTTTTGTCAGTATTTAGATGAAAATGAATGTTTTTACAAAAATCAATTTAATTTGCCTTTATAAATGTATAATCTTCACTCAGCAGTGATTTTCTTATTTCACTTTCTCTCAGCTACAATATTAAACAAAAGGAACTTAAAGTCATGGTTAGTTACTAGCTCATTCATTCGATATTTTTTTAAACATGAACATTTTCTAATAAAACAGAAATATCAGTACTATGGTGAATAATGTGAGTCCTACTTGATTTATGAGGAAAGACTGAGGGTGTGGCAGCCCAGTAGGGGCACTGCTACACAAAGCCATCCATCTCACTTTGCCAGGCCCAAAACAACACTTTGGGAGTTTCCCATGGGGAGCCTATGGCCAGCCGTTCCCCTTCCTAGAGAACACCCACAAGCCTGGGGTAACGTTGCCACCACCCTGGCACTGGTCTCCAGTAGGGCTCTGTGCAGCCCAGAGGACACAGAAACAGCAAGTCTTGGGGGTGCGTTGACCACTGGTAATATTTCTGGATGCCTCTTTTAGCTCAAAGCCTCCCAGGGTAACCTCAGATATGACTGAGGGAAATATAAATAGCCATGCCTTGCTGGCTGGGCCGGGAGCAAAAGGCCTCTTCTCTATCCCTTCCTTACACAGTTAAACAGCCTGTTATTCTGTAACCCAATACCTTTATTTATCAAAGGAGAGAGTAGTGGGGGTAGAACAAAGGAGTCAGAAAATACACTTCACAAATATAGGATTCAGTGACTGTTTTAGGATGAGACAACATTTGCTTAGTTCTAATCTACTAGCTACTTTCCAGATCTTTACTCTCAGTGATTTATCTAGGCAGCAACCTAGAGGCATGATGCTTGTGGCTGTTCCAAAATGCCACAAGAGGAAGACAGCAAGCTCCCCCCTCCTCTAGGAATTTATCTCCTCTCAGTCACCTGGGTGACCAGGCTAAACCAAATAGCAAACAGGTGAATTAGAAAGGAGTGTGTGGAATGACCCAAGGCAGGGCAGACAGAGGGTGATTTCTTCACACAGGGAACTGGGCTTATTTAGTCTAGAGAAGAGAAGAATGAGTGGGGATTAATAGCAGCCTTAAACTACCTGAAGGGGAGTTCAAAAGAGGGTGAAGCTAGACTGTTCTCAGTGGTGGCAGAGGACAAAATAGGGAGCAATGGT